GTTCTATTAGAACATATTTTTTATTGAAACTTGTCTATCCGATTAGGATTGTAAACGAGCCTAGTCGAGCTCGAGTATTGTTGAGCTCGACTCGAAAACTCTGAAATGGAACTCGACTTGACTTGAAACTATCGAGCCTAAAATTTTTAAGCTCGACTCAAACTCGAAATCATGAACTGAAGCTCATAAAAGCTCGAAAAGAAAAAAAAATCTTAAACTTAACTCGATTAAAGACTCAAACTCGAACATGAACCTTAAATACATGAAAACCTTATATTGTATTTTTTTTTTAAAAATATACACATAAATGTTAATATTATTAATAATTTTAAAAAACAAAATCTTAATATATTATATTTTTTAGATGTTCACGAGCTTTTCGAGTCGAGTATCAAGTAGTTAATTTCAACTCGTTAAGAACTCGAGTCGAGCATGAGCTCAAATTTAGTACATTCGAGTCGAGTATTTATCGAGGTTTGACTGAGTCGATCTCGAGTAGTTCGTGACATGTCTTGTCTCATTTATAGCTCTAACTCCGATATGACAAAATTCTAATAAAAAATTATATATATATTTTTGAAACTTATCACATCGATGTAATGAATTTGAATAAAAAAATATTTTTTGGACAAACTCGTCATGTGAGCTTTATACGTTTGTTCCACATGTAAGTGGGTAATGAAGCAATTATAAAAACTGCTACCCATTTCTATGGTTCATGCTTGCCCCCATTATGCACATTCCCACTTTTTTGGACGGGATATGGGTTGGTTTTAGGTGGATTTTGATGATCAAACCACATTGTAAAATATGAGGATATCCAAGGTCCCTAAGCACCAACACAACACATTTCAAAGCATTTAATTTGAGAGCTTTTGGAAATTTACTCCATCTAAGTGAGGTTTTGAGTACTTAGAAGATCCTTGGCGGTTCTAGTTTTTGTGAAGCCAAGTTCGAAGTGCTAGACGGTGGTTTATGGTGGTTCACGATGGTCGACGGTGGTCCTACGTAATTGGCGGTGATGCATTCAATTCCCGTATTTTGACATATGATGTAAGCAATGACTGGAGGTATTTATAATGATCTCTTTTCCGCTGCATTTATGATCAATGTGTGAAAGCATGTCTTACATTTGGTATCCGAGCATGATTAAATCTTTATCTTGCCTGATTTTTGGAAGTTTGCATGTTTCTCGAATTTTTGATGCCATGATTTTAAATTTTGAGAAAATTTGTGTTGCAAATTTGTTGCTAAAATCGTTGGATTTTATTAAGGAAATATTTCTAAAATTAATTATGTTGAAATAATTTTATAAAAAGTTTCGAAATATTATATGATTTTATGTGCCTAAATTATGATTAAATGTATGTGAATTATATGGTTATTTATAACATACATTAGGTGCATGAAACTTCAGTATTATTGGATAAAATATTTAACAATAAAACCTTATATTATATGTCTAGAGATCTAAATAATTTTATTTAATTAAAGATTTAGGCACACCAACTTTGGTTAAATAAAATTATTTATTATGGTAATGATCTCATTAAGACTATAGACATAAGATGTTGCATGATGAATTAGCAACACTTTTGAATAAAGTTTAGAGTTAACGTCTGGCTAAGTAATTTACATAATTTTATTAGTTAAAGACTAGCCGCAACATCTTTAGTTAAATAAAATTACTAAAGTTAAAAATCACATACATAAAGCTTAGATGTTGAATCCTATTGTATAATTTATTAAGGTAAATTTATTAGATGCCTTGCATAGTTACCCGCATGAATTATGACACAAAACATGAAAAGAAAATGTCATGGAAAGCTTGAATGAACAACACAAACAATACAAAACACAAAACATGACATAAAAAATACAATATGACAAAACGAACAACAATTCCAAACCTAAGATGCGCATTGTCCTCAATGCATGCAAAAGAAATAAGATAAATAAATAAATAAATAAAATATGAGAAAAAATATAGCAATACTCCCCTATTTGGGCATTCTTGGACTTGTGCTGCTAATGGAAGGGATATCATCACTCATTCAGAATAGTGACAGTTGTTGTGCAACATCATCTAGGAAAAACTGATGAAGCAGCAGATAATGTCGTGGCATTTCCTACATAGAAAAAAAAGAAATAAAATGACAAGAAAAATGCAAACTAAGATAATGTCAAAATTGACTTATTGAAAGCATGTAAAAAAACTATTTCACATAGTGAAATTGAAGTTCGTGGTAACTTTGCCTGGATCCCAATAAAATGATTCTCTTTTATGTTTTCCGATGGTTGCTATGGCATCATCATAATTCTCTAGGGCCCTTGTGCTTGTAGGATCATAACATTGTTCACAACAAAAATCTTTTTTGTTGGAATCAGTCATGAAGCATACTTCTTCATTGAAACCATAGAGATGCTGCAACTTCACATTGTGAATTATCATATGAGAACCTTCATTGCTAAAGCCTTATGAAACCTTCGCTGATGGTGTGCTTTTTTGCACTATGGTAGTATTTACAGTTTTACTTAAGTACTTATGTTGCCACTTTGTAGTCGACATAAGTAGTGCAACATCGTTGTTGATGCTAGGATTAATGTGGAAGCTTTGGTTCCCCTCATTTTTCTTGGTCTCTTTATGATTTGGCTTATATGAATCTTATGTTTCCACAATAATATTAAATAGCTCTTCAACGCTCCCACATTCATCTAATTGCTTTTGTACTATTGCTTCGACAATGTCAACATCATGACATTCTTCTTCATCATCGCATTGTAGTGGGTTGAGCACATTGAATGTAATTTGTTGGTCGTTGAGGCGTAATGTGAGTTATCCTTTTTCGACATCAATCAATGTTCGCCCAGCACCAAGGAATGACATTCCTAGTATTATGGGTACTTTTTTGTCGACTTCACAGTCTAAGACAATAAAGTCCACTGGATAGATAAATTTATCCACTCGTACTAGTACATTATCAATCTTGCCTTCAGGATATACAATAGATCGATCAACAAGTTGAAGTGTATTTGTTGTGGGTTGTGCCTTTCCAATTCCAAGTTTCCTAAAAATAGAGTAAGGCATTAAGTTAACGCTGGAGCCTAAATAACATAAAGCTCTACCCATGTATTGATTGCTAATAGTAAAAAGAATAGTCAAACTCCATAATTCCTTTAACTTTTGGGGAAATTTGCTCATGAAAATGGTGTTACACCCTTCGGTGAGTGTAATGGTCTCAAACTCACCAATCATATATTTCTTGGAAATCATATCTTTCATAAATTTGACGTAGTTTGTTGTTTGCTCCAATGCTTCCAGGAATGGTATGTTAACGCGTAATTGCTGCAACACTTCAATTAATTTTCTAAATTGCGAGTCTTCCTTGCTTTTCTGGAATCTTTAGGGAAATGGAGGATGAGGTCTTGGATTCTACTATGGCATTTGTGTTGGAGAGACATCTAGTAGTATGGTAAGCATTGTTGCGGGCGATGATCCAGAGTTACTGCACTGTCCTACTTTGCTTGCTGTGGCATTGTCAGTGGGTGTTTTAAGATCAACTTCCTTGCTCTTATCCTTGTTATACTTTATAGACTCTTCATAAATTGTCTACTTTGGGTCCTTAACTAATTTACCAATACGGAGACCACTTCAAGTTGTAATGGCCTTGCAATGCTCATTGCATTTAGCTTTCCCATGTGGCTTTGGGTTCTTAGTGTTGTTGGGCAGTGTTCCTTGCTGTCTATTATTCAAAGCATTTTCCAATTGGCCAACTTGATTCTCTAAAGCCCTTAGTGATGTTGATTGACTTGCCATGTACTCCTTTATTAAGGCTTTAAGAGATGAAAGATGAGTGGTTTGTTTTGAAGATTGTCCTTGACAATTCTGTCGTGGTTGTGCAGCTTGTTGTTGTGTCTGATGCTGAGGCATCTGCTATTGTTGATTGTACTACTGTGTTTGGTTGTATTGTTGTTGTTGATTATAGTAGTGTTGCTGCTATAGATCATCTTTTGATTTTAAGATAGACGGGGATGGTTGTAGAAGTTAGCATTGTATACATTCCCATAGGTATTTGCGTTGTCATTTATGTTGTAATTTCTCACAAAATAGGCAATTTATGTTGTAATTAACAAAAGATGAAGATTTTACCCCATACATACCCATTGGTTTGTGCAGCTTCTTAACCATGTCTGTTAATGCTGTGATTTGGGAATCCATAGACTTGAAAGCATCAGAATTCACCGCTACAGTATTGCGTTTGCGAAACATGTTTGTAACACACTTAACCCATATACGTACCCGAATATGAGTGTTTAGAAGATCCTTGACGGTTCTAACTTTTGTGCAGCCAAGTTCGAAGTACTCAACGGTGGTTTGTGGTGGTTGGCAATGATCCGACGTAATTGACGGTGGTGCATTCAATTCCCGGATTTCGACATACGGTGTAGGCAATAGCTGGAGGTATTTATAACGATCTCTTTTCCGCTGCATTTATGCTCAATGTGTGAATGCGTGTCTTGCACTTCATTGTAGTTTTTACCGTAGATCTCAAATTAATTTTAGAGATGATAATGAATCAATTTGTTTATCCGTTTGACCTATTGAATCAATTTTACCGAAAAATCAAGATTCAAAGTATGACTCGAGCTCATTAAAAAGGAATTAATGTTAGATAATTAATTTATCTAGGAATTAATGCTAACAGTGGTGGCATTTTTCATAAACTTTTAATAATAAATCATTTAATTTGAAAGTACATTCATAAAAAAATCACATTAAAAAAGTGCACGTAAGACTTACACAACCTGACACACCAAAATACAGGCTGGCAGCCCATGCTCACTGTTCCCACAAAAATGTTTATTCCCACCTTAGGTCAAAATCCTACGTGGCAACATGGTTCAATTTCCTCGGCCCTTTGTTTCTCTCCTCTATTTAAACTCCCCCGACTCCCCTTTCCCCTTCACCAACGACCGAGTTTCCGTTCAAAAAAGAAAAAGAAAAAACAAGGCATTATTAAAATCTAGGATTCGAAAATGGGTATTTGTAGTTCGTGCAATTCAACTCATGAAGCAACGGCTAAGCTGATTCTTCTGGACGGAAGTTTACAAGAGTTTCCTTATGCCGTTAAGGTTTCTTATGTACTGCAAAGGAACCCCATGTGTTTCATCTGCAACTCAGATGAAATGGACTTCGACGACGTCGCATCGGCCATCGGGGAAGACGAGGAGCTTCAACCCGGTCAACTTTACTTCGCCTTGCCGCTGAGTTGGCTTAAACATCCTTTACAAGCCCAAGAGATGGCCGCATTGGCTGTCAAAGCTAGCTCCGCTTTGATCAAAGCTGGTGGGGGTAAAAGATCCGGATCTAGACATAAAACTATTATTCCTTTTGATTTTCCCGATGAGTCTCCTCGTCGGAAAGTTTCCTCCACCGTCGGTGGTAGTGGTGCTGAGAAGAGAGGGAGAGGTAGGAGAGGGAGGAGAAAGTTTAAGGCTATGTTGAGTGCTATTCCTGAATAGGGAAATAAGGATGGTATATTTGTAAATATAATTATATTGAGTTTATTTTTGTCAAATCACCGGTGGAAATAGAGGTGGTTGACCATCGTTCTTATACGAATTGGAATTGCTTAAACTCACGATTCGCCTTTCTTCACAGCTTTAGGTTGCCCGTGCGAGGGTTGTATTACAATTTTACCCTATTTGAGTGCAAATTAATACGATAAATTTGGATTAGTGCATCACGTCCAATCATACAATTTATACAAATGAATTAAGTGTTTTGTATTTAAATTATCAAATTTTGGTTTATTTTAATATTTAAATTTTTTATTTTTTAAAAATGATATCTTAAGTTTAATTTTTATTTTATTTTAGTATATTGTTAAAAATTTAACGTTGAATTTTGAAAAAAATTGAAACTTTATGTATTAAAACGGGTCAAAATTGATAGTTTGGGTGCTAAACTCGTTAAGTTTTTAAACGGTGAGATATTAAAATAAAACAAAAACTAAACATTAGGTATGATTTTGAAAAAATTGAAAGTTTAAGTATTAAAACAGACCAAAACTGATAATTTAGGTACTAAACAAGTAGTTTACCCTAGATTTTTCGTATAGAAAAATATTAATGTGAAAAATATTTTTATAAAAAATAATTACTTAATGACATAGATTGATAGTAAAATATTTATACACAAAATTATCAGTGGTTAAAAGGATGATTGTTATCCTTAGAAGCCTCAAGTTCGAGAACCGATGATAATAGAGTATTTAAATCATATATGATTCTGATTTATAAAATGAAATAAATCGTAGAATTTATTTTCCTATTTTGTAGAAGGAGATAAATCGTTAAATTTATTTTCCTAAGAATCTTGTATGATTTTGATTTGTAAAAATAAATAAATCATTGGATTTTTTTTCATATTTTGTAAAAGGAAATAAATAATTGGATTTAGTTTTTGGGGAATCATGTATGATTCTTGTGTATGAATCAAATAATCCCGAGATTCACAATAACACGATAATAAAATCAAAGAATATCTCATTCTTTGAAAATATATTCTCTTATATAACTAAGCAAGATGATTGAATACTATCAATAAAAATAATTCTAGATGTTCAACGAAAGGTTGAAACAAAGATATTGTCATTATGACAAAACACTGAAAAATAATTATGAGATAAATGATATATCTCAGATATGTTCAAGAGTATGTATTGTATTATCGCAAGATCATACTTTTTTAGAAGAATACTCTGATGCCAATTGAATATCTGATATTTAAGAGATCAAATGCACAAATGAATATGTTTTACATTGGGAAGAGGATTCATGTCATAGAAATCCTCAAGAAAATGGTTATAACCAAATCCAAAATGGAATAAACGTTTGTAGCTCTAGACAAGTCTAGAAAATAGGTTGAATAACTTTAAAATTTCTTGGAGTATATTCTTGAATGGCCAAAGTTTGTGCTCACAATATTTATATATTGTTAGAGCACAAAACGTTATGTTTAATGGTAAGTTATGATATATACACCATCAACACAATACAATTGGACAACTAATCTCAAATGAAGTTATCATTGTTAACTTTGTAAGATCAAAGGATAACATTGCAGATTCACTAACCGAAGGGTTAATATTGAGATCAAATTGAGAAAACATCGAAAGGAATTAGACTAAATCCCATGAAATGAAAGGCTCTATGTGAAGGGCCTTACCTTGTTGACTGGAGACCCAAGATCTATGTTCAAAGGGATAACCTAATTGCATAAATTGTGTGCGGTCACTGTGGGGGTTTGTTATCACAAGTCTGTTCCTATGATGTAAACAATAATCAAATTGGTATAGGCTAAGCAAAGATTTTAATTACCATTGTGTGCTTCGAAGAGTCGAGCAACATAAGTCACTTATGTGAGAGTGAAGTGAGGTCGATTCAAGGAGACTATTGGGTATAATTCTTTCAAACTCTTGCAGAACCAGGCGATGTCCATGGCTTTAAGGACATACCCTTGAGAACTAAAATTCTTGTCAGAGGGTTAGTTGTGTGAAGTATATTATCGTTTACACAAACGATAGAACAATTCAAGGACATCATATCTACTAGTCAGCTAGCAAAGTAAATATGCTATCACAAGGGAAAGTTCAAAGGAGGACACTTACCTATCCTATATAACTATCGATCTTAGAGTCTATCACCACATCGAGTCAAAATGATTTTGATAAATGATCAATTTCATTCATGTGAGGGATTGTTGGAAAGTTTTTTGATAATTTTGGAGCTTTGAATGAGAAATTGATCCAAACGTTTTGAGGAAAATGTGGAACCAATTGTTGGTTAGTAAATGTGCAAACGTGCACGATGTGGGTAACGTGAGTGTTCGAACTGGTCTAGCTTTTTGTGGGCTTGCAGATATTTTAACCCAGTTGTGAGATATTTTCCTCAAATAGAGAATATCTTTTCAAAATCTGTTTTGGAATTAAAAGGATAAATATTAAAAGGTTCATTTAATCAAAACAATAATTTTGAAAATTGCTTAATTGCTTTATTCTCATTAATGCTTCATTAAGTAAAAAATTTTCAATTGTTCACAATATGAACTCCCTATAAATACTGTGTTAACCTACTAGTTTAAACGCAATTAAAAAACAACTCAAAAACCAATTCAAATGAATTCTTTTCTCCAGTTTTTGGTGATAAACGAAGACAAGAAATAATTCGTGATCTCAATAGTTGTGCTACTATGCTCTCATCTCGTTGTTGTATCTTGGGAGACAGACGACCAATGATCTCAAGCACCAAGGAGTTGCCAAAAATATGGGAAACTACGTAATTGCAGGCATCAACTTATTACTATTCATATATTTATAGTTTTCTATTCAGATTATTTAATCGAATATTTTCCATATTATTAATTGTGTTTGTTTTATTCTTGATTCATGGACACGAATTTTGCGAAGAGATCTTACCGATGTGTTGATCGTCCTTTGCTGCAATTTGTTGAATCACCATGAAAAGAACTTACGAATATGTTTCTTGGATGTATTTGGTTTTGTCGCTACATACCAATTATTTGGTATTGCATGCGTTGATGGTGGCATGACACCATGATACAAATTAATGTACTTTATTCATTTTGTTCTTAATTATTATTTCGTTGTATCATCTCGGATTGTTATACCTCTAACACTAAGACTCTGCTATTTAGGTTCTTCTTTGTCTTTCTGCTACCAATGTTGTTTGTTTCATGTAGAAACGAGATTTTAATTCTTAATTATTATTTCGTTGTATCATCTCAGATTGTTATACCTCTAACACTAAGACTCTGCTATTTAGGTTCTTCTTTGTCTTTCTGCTACCAATGATGTTTGTTTCATGTAGAAACGAGATTTTAACTCAATCTGTCCTGTTATAGTATGTTGTCCATATATAGTTTATTACAAAATCTCTTGTGTCTGTTAGACCCCATCATTGGCCGTGTTGGGAAACTAATGATATTTTTCGAAAGAACATTTTTTTCTTGGTTCTTATAAAATTGTTCATGCGTCTTTACAATGAATGCCAGTAATTTTCTGGGGGGGGGGGTGAAATTATTTGGTAATAATAATTTATCAGAGTCTTGGCTCTTGAGTCATGAATGGAGGCAGTCATTATCAAATTTACTTGGTACCAACATTCTGCACACAAAACCAGCTTTGCCATTGGCTTTTACATGAGAAGAATAGGACAATACAGATAAACAGTACAAGAAAACCAGCTTTGCCAGATTGGGACCGGGAACAGGAAAGTGAAGAATCCCACAATTGTGACAGAAAAAAAGTGAACTTTCCAAAGACATTAGTACAAGAGAGTCTATGCCAATCATAAACGGCAAAAGGTATCACTCCCTTCCCCATTTCTGTCCCCACTCTCTCTCTCTCTCTCTCTCTCTCTCATATGGGATGGTCCAAAATATGAATATCAGTAACAAAAACAATCAAATTAACTATTAAAACTTTGGTTTGAGCTACTATTGAATCCCTGACGAAGACTTACTAATATCCAACAACTTGATGTATGTATGAAATCCCATTTACATCTAAGCTTAAAAGTTTGAACAAATGCAAAGGAGCAGTGTAGCATCGTCAAGGTCCACAAACAAGACAGACTCCTTTCTTAACCTATGTAGTACTTGTCAATGTCCTGAAACATGTCTCTTTGGACTTTGATTAAGCAAGGACTAAAAGTCATATCTTCACCAAAAAGAGAGAGAGAGGGAGAGAAAAAGGACTAATCCATGGTAAAGAGAACTGGTAGGCTTCTACATTTGCTTTACTAAAAAAGAAACTCTTTCCCAAGGAAGATTTCTTCTTTTTCTTTCTGCAAGTAAATTTTTTGTTATTACAAGTAATATCAATGGAAAGAGATATAGTAAAACACGTGTTTTAAAAACCCATATCAGATCTGTTTTGATAAAATGGTCGAACAAGGTAAAAGAATAGAATCTAGTGCGACTTTCAACTCTTTTCAAGTAGATTTTTTAAACTTTTTCTCAAAGGAAGATAATAGACTCAAGGGGAATCCAAAGAGTAATATAGAAATGGCATGGAGCAAAGAAGAGTAAAGAGCAGGTAAACACAAAGGTGGTGGAACATACCCAACATAATTTTGAATCTCATGATCCATTCAATTGCGTAAGGTAGGTTGAAAAACATAAATAATGTTGCTTTTCCATTGCTTGTTTCAATAGGCTAATACTTTTGGGTCTTCATTTTCTATCAATGAATGCGCTTTGGTTGCACCAAATCATAGAAATACAATCCATGATAATTTAACTCAGTCATATTTTATGAAACAAATTTTATTTAATATTTTTTGCAGTTGAGTCGAATTTTTCGACTTTCTAAACAAATTTAATTGTAATTATTTATAATATTATGATGTATATATTGGTTCTAATTTTTTCGATTTTCTCAAACCATATAAGATGTACATATATATTTCTTCACATTCTTTTTCACAATTTAATATTATTTAATAAATCAAATACAATCTAAAATTATAAAATATATTTATAATATTATTTTTTGAAGAAGGTATCTTGAGGATGAAGTATTGATGGGAGTATAAAAGAGTCAAAGAATTGATGGAATGAACGAATTTGTAAAAAATAAAATATAGTAGAAATATCAAATTGAATAAAATGCAAAGTTAAGGGATTAAATTAAAAAGAGTACTTTTGTAGTTAGAAATAGGAATTGAAGTTACATAGGTATTCTATAGTGGAAGAGGGGCATGCGGTTCAAATTTGGTCCAAAAAAGGATATAAAATGAAGGATGAATTGAAGAAATGAGAAAATTATGCAAAGTTGAGGGATTATATTAAAAAATTTGAAAATTTGTTATAAAAAATAAGAGTTGAAGATACATAGGAGTTCTACAATGATATAAGAGGGTGTTTGTAACATTACCAGCGTTTTGAATTAAAATGCCCTTAAATTTTTATTTTTTTTTTCAAAAATATCATTCTTCTGTCATTGAATAATAAAAAATCTACGAAGGTTAAATTACAAATTTATCCTTAAATTATTTTACATTTACAAAAAAAGTATATAATTAAAATTTTATATGAAGTTCAAGGGTTAAAATTTTTTTACCCTTTCATTAAACCTTTTTTATATTTTTCATTTTGTAAAAAAAAATTATATAAATATTATGAATTTAATTTTTTAAATAAAATATATAAATATTTTACAATTTGTAATATTATACAAATATATAATAAGGACAATTTGGTCAAATATACATTCCAATAATCTTTTATTCCTTTAACCAAAACGGTAATCTTACATTCCTGCTAAACCAACCAAACACAAAATACAACATTCCCAGTAATCCTATTCCCTGGTAATCTTTCATTCCCACTGGTAATCTTATATTCCGTGAACCAAACGCACCCTAAGAGTATGTGGTTAAAATTTGATAAAAATGAACTTAAAATGGATGAGTAGTCGAAAGAATAAGAAAATTGGAGACCAAATCGTAAAACTGTTAAAATACTCGAGCTAAATTTTTATTTTATTAGTTGACTGGAAGTTTTCAAATTCCAATTGGAATCAAACTCAAAAACCGGTTGATAATTCAAATTAACTCTAATAATTTAAAATAAAAAAAATTACTCCCATAATAATAATAATGATGATGACGACGACGACGACGACGACGACTCAACTGCCTTAAGTCCAAGAGCACGCTTGTAAGCTAAAAGCCTGATATCCTACATTCCCAGGCCATGCGACTTGCTGTTTTAAGTATTGAAGCAAAGCAGGATTAGAGTTTTCCAGATTAATTTGGAATAAGATTACCATGACCCATAGACTAGAATTTCATGCATCTTTGATTATATATATATCTATCTATCATTTTCTTGCTTCTTTTGGTGTAGTTGCAAAGAATATGTTGCATCTGCACTCTGAAACATGCAAATATTGTGTAAAAAAGTCTGATTTGGATGCATTTTGCATAACTGCTTTATGTTGATGATTATAAAATGGCTTAATACCAAAATAAGTGCTCAAACTATACAATTTTTCTCGAATAGGTGTATAAATTATTTTTTGATTCATCTCGGTGCATAACATTACAAACATTATCGTTTTAGGTGCCCGAGCCATCAACAACGTTAATTTTTAACCGTTATGTGACACGAGTCACTGTCTGGTTATTTTGAAATCTATTTTTAAAAAAACATTAACAATATTATTATATTTATAAAAAAACCTTAATTTCTCTTAAATTATAAAAAGTTCCAAAATCCCTAAAATCCTCAAATCCTAATCTTAACCCCCGCACCTTTTCCGGCCACGACCACCATCGCCGATGTAATCTCTGCTATTCTCCTAGTCATATGCCGACGTAGTTGTCGCCGATTGGCCGTTAAAATCTCGTGGGATCGCGATTTTCATCCTAGGGTTTGTATGGTATAAAATGTCAATTCGTCGTCTATCGGTCACAGTTTTATAGGGGTTTTGGTTCTCAGGGAATGTGAGATTAGGTGGAGCTTCGTCGACAACAAAGGGCGGCGGCCAGAGTGGGTTTAGGGGTTAAATTGAAGGTTTTTAAAGTTTTGAGTTTATTTCAAAATATTTATTTTTTAATATATATAATTTTAATTTCTAAATTTTAAATGAAGTTTTTAAAATTACCAGATTATGACACGTATCATTTAACAGGGAAAATTAACGCCGTTGACAGCCCAAACACCTAAAGTAGTAATGTTTGTAACGTTAGACACCGTAATAAATCAAAAAATAATTTAATCACCTATTAAAAAAATACAATTTGAACAAATATGCCCTATAAAAATTGTACTATACTTCATTCAATGCTTTCTAAGTGCATGAATTTTCCATTGTATGACTCAACCCTAGAATGTTCCATCCAATGAAACTAAACTTGGAATATCAGTCTTGTTGGTAATTATTTAGGATAATAGCTTTTCTTCGTCCAGGATATTAGCAGCATCACACTTGCTTGCCACTATTCAATGTCCCTATGTTCTACCTTTTGCGGATTTCACTTATCTTTTTTACTTTAATTTCCTTCATTTTTGTTTTTATCTATAGAAGTAAGATAACAACAGTAATGTGTCTAACATTACTTAAAAAAAGAATTACTTAAATTATATTATTTCTCTCGAATAGATGATTAAATTATTTTTTGATTATCTCAGTGCCTAACATTTTATGTGTCTAACTTCGTTATCATTTTTGGTACCTGAACATTAATCTTAAACCCCGGTTAAATGACACGTGTCATATTCTGATAATTTTGATAATTTTATTTTTTTTTAAATATTTTTTAATTTAAAAAAAAGAATTTGCACAATTCCAGCCCCACCCTCACCCCGCCGCATTTCCCCTCCCCTTTGTCGGTGCTCTCCCCATTATTCTCTTCACCTATGCTCTCCCATCATCCCTGTGATTCAATTAATTATATTTTGAGTTGAATTTAATAATAAATTTGAGATTATGGTTTGGGATTTGGGGATTAAGTTTAAGAATTTATGTTTAAAAATTTATAAATTTAGGGGATTTGATGTTCGATCGTTGCGAAAGTATGGGGGTTTTGTTTGGTCGGTCACATGTCGTGGGTGTTCGGTCGGTTGACAGTGTTGATGGTGGCCGACAATTGTAAAATGATTAAAATTAAGATTTTAAAAGTTTTGTTTTTTTAGATTTGAAAAAAATTAGCTTTTTTTTTTCAAAAAAAGGTTATATTTTTAAAATTTTTATTTTAAATAAAAATTCTCAAAATTATTAGAATGTGATACGTGTTACTTAACGAGGTTAATGTATGGGCACTTAAAATGGTAATAGAGAAAACGTTGGACACCACAATGAGTCAAAAAATAGTTTAGATACATATTCAAGAAAAAGAGTATAGTTTAGGCACTTGTTTTGGTATTAATCCTAAATTTCATTAATAAGATTATCAATTTTACCAGTTTGCTCTCATTTTCTTCAAGAATTCGATTTTTAAAAGTTGACGACCAAAATGCATTTGGTGGTATAGATAAGGACTTGCACAATACTTTTACCCTTTGGAAAACTGTGGGTAGAACCATGAACGATGAGATGTGCCCTCTGTTTTACATAGTATGAGGCACGCACCTCAATTGCAGATTAGAAACCCAAATCTGAAAATCTTTCTCTATCTCAATTCCCCCATTTTTACCTATTTATCGCAATCTACTCCTTCCCTTCAAGCCCAATACCCACAATCTTCATACCACTAAACCAATTTCTTTCTTAGTCTTGTGCTTTACAATTTGACCCTCATTGAATTACCAAATTACAGAATCAGCAGCCCAATACGCCACCAAATCTGTTTCAGTTTAGGTAAGGGTCTCATTATTTGCTAACAAGTCCTTTGAGTTGAGGACACTTTGTTTTTGTCTTTTGGATTCCTTTGCTTTGTTGTTTTCAAATTTGGCCACGGGGACAATGCCCAACACAAACCACATCTATCTATATAATATTATAATCATATATAACCACCCCTCCCCTCAAAACAACCCCAATGAGTCCCGATCCCCCCAAAAGAACGAAACCCTTTTCTTCAATCCCACCCGCCTGACCAATAAACCAACAACCATGGGAAAAAATGAATATCGGGTGATCGTCCATTAACATCCTTTTACATACACAAGGTAAACACACATTAGCCATGGCCAGTACCAACCCCCTTTATTTCTTTTATCTTCTCTGTGAATTAAGTTGGGTTTATGTGTGTCACATTTTACCGTCAATTTCTCTCATCTTCTGTGATCTAGTAGCTGCTCTTTGTTTCCTGCTTCTATGCCCTAAATGTTAATTTTCTTTACTTACCTAACCTCCCCCCTTCCCTTGAAAAACAATACCCATTATCTTACAAGTAATGAACCCTTCCCTTTCCTTGTAATTTTAGCCCATTATTCAGGATATTATTTGTTCTTATGTTCTTAGAATACATGTTTCATGATCTGGGTTGGGCTCATATGTATATTTCTATGTATGTATTTAATTGTATCATCTGGAATTTGGGCACACCGACCATGTTGTCTCCATTTTGATGATATGTCTAGGCCTTCGGGCGTTCTTATATAATATGAATCTAATGAAAAAGAAAAGAAGTTCCCACCTGCCCTTTCTTTAGGGGCTATTATTTTTTATTATTATGGACAACCAAATAAATGAATGATGAAATTTACTGATTATGTTAGGGTTTTGTGGCATTTATGTCTCTGGGTCTTGTTGGTTTTGTTTTTTTTTCTCTTCGTTTTTGTTATGCATTTTAAGATCTGGGTCTAGCTGGCCATGGTGTATTTTTCCTTTGAGAGCTGCGATTTCAATTTCGCATGATTGATGATGATGGAGAGTGCAAGTTTGTTCTTGAATTGTGATTAAAATTTTGCATGGATTAAGTAAAATTTGACTCTGAATTTTGTATTAACGTAAATAATGACAGTGATTGAGACCGGATTAAGCTGGTCATTGGACCCTATTCGGAGTGAGAGGTAAGATTTTATGTTAGGGGGCAAACTTATAAAATCTTTGAAGGGGCACATTTATAAAATTTTAAGTGGCGAAAATGGAGAATATAAAGAAAGCATCTAAAATATACGAGAATTTAATTTTTTTCAAGGGGCGTCTGCCCCCTTCGGTCCATCCCTGCCCCTATCTAGATGTTTGCATAAATGAAACATCAACCCTGTGTCTAGCCTACTGCAGGATACTAGTTTCTTGTTTAAATTGCATAATGCACGTTCATGCATACATTTATGTGTATTTTACATGTTCATGTTCTAGTGGAATTGGTATCTTTGGTCTTTCTTTCAATCCTACATGGACTGTATCATATGAATATACATACATACATACATACATACATACATACATACATACATACATACATACATACATACATACATACATACATACATACATACATACATATATATATATATATATATATTTCAGTAATATATACTTGACAAATTTTATTTTGCTGGATCTTACTCTTGCTTTGCTTGGCTTTGTTTGGACAGGAAAGTGAATTTGGGGGATATTCAATGTTCATATGCACATTATACTTCTGCAGATATTCCAGTTTGAATCATGGAAGTGCTCCCCCGTTCTGGTATTCAGTATGCTGCGGATTCTGATTGTGTTCAACCGATTTCAGAAGCACCTCTTACATATGAAAGTGAATCTAATTCCTTGGAACAAAAGAACCAAGTTCAAGTAGCAGATAGTAGGATGGATGACTTATTAATAACTAATGAAGAGAATCAAGCAGGAAGACAAGATGAAGGTCAAGGCAAAAGGGATGGATTACCAATTTCAGAGGGACACCATAGTGTATTTTCATATTATGATTGTCAGGCAGAAGGCCAAAGATTATCTTGCGGATCACATGATGATGAATATGATGATTCAAATGCACAGAATTGTTGCACCGGGCCTTATTTGACCTCTGAAAACTCTCATTTACCCGTTGTCCCCATCCAGAGTGAGCCACCAAGCAACAACAGGGAGGGAGAATTGTCTCTTTCAGAACCTAAGTGGTTAGAGCATGATGAGTCTGTTGCATTGTGGGTCAAGGTAGCATTTCTACTTTTAGTTTTCATTTCCCTGAAACACCATATCTCAACTATTGTGCTTTTGACTTGCATTACAACAACTGTTTCTACTGTCTAGGATGTAACCCCACAGTATGCCTTACGCTTATTTTCTTTCGTGTGCTTAATGCTTTATCCATTTAACCTCTTAAACTCCTTTGATAATTATTGTTTCTGGTCTCCAGTTAAATAGCCCCCCCCCCCCCCACACACAAAAATATTTAATTCCGATTTTCTAGAAGATAAAGGTACATGCTAAATTTATTTTCATGTAATAATCTTCTATTTCTCCGAGTATAGTGGAGAGGAAAATGGCAAGCTGGAATCAGATGTGCAAGGGCTGACTGGCCGTTATCGACTTTAAAGGCAAAACCGACTCATGATCGAAAACAGTATTTTGTGATATTTTTTCCTCACACCAGGAATTATTCTTGGGCAGACATGTTACTTGTCCGATCCATTAATGAGTTCCCTGAGCCTATTGCATATAGGACTCATAAAGTTGGACTAAAAATGGTTAGAGATTTGACTGTTGCACGGCGATACATACAGCAAAAGCTAGCTGTTTCCATGCTGAATATAATTGATCAGTTCCATTGTGAGGTATTGTTTTCTTCATCTTTAGAATCCTTATGTATTTAATATATTTCCTCAATTCGTCAGCTCTCTTAACAGAATTCTATTCTTATTTGTGTAGGCTTTGATTGAGACAGCACGTAATGTGATTGTCTGGAAGGAATTCGCTATGGAGGCTTCACGCTGCAACGGTTATTCTGATCTTGGAAAGATGCTTTTGAAACTTCAAAGTGTAAATCCTGCACTTGACATATTTCATAAGATGTTTGAAAAATTATCAGCAGTAGTTGGTGGACCAACCATGTGATAGAATGTGATATGGATGATTTGAAATATATATATAATCTCAGTGAATAAATGAAAGTAAAGTGGAAGGTATTAGGAACATCTGTGAATATAGATTAGCGCAAGCTCTTCCCTGCTATATCCTCAGTCTTAACCTGAAATTGATTATATTTAATGCATTAACATAGAAATTTATTTAGAACTCGTAACAGAAACTATTTTTTAACCTTATAAATTTATATTCAGACTTTTAGTTGGTCATATATGAGAATATATCCAGAGGGGATCTACATGGTCAAAAATCCTTTGTTGTTGATGTTAGTTGGGTACTGCTGCTATCATTACCAAATCACTGTGCATCTCCACCATAACCTTTCATCTAATCTCTCTCTCTCTCTATCTCCTCCACCATTTCCTTCTTTTACTTGCATTAAAAATGCAAGTCATAATATTTCTCTTCTCTGCAGATGATGTTGCCACGCTACATAAATGCTAACTGGCTTCGAAAATCTTTTCACTCGTGGGTACAAAAATGTCAGAATGCACATAGTGCTGAATCCATTGAATTGCTAAAGGAAGTATGTCTCACTTTATGTTTGCCTGTTTATGTTACTATCAGTGCTTACTGAAATAATATGTTGATTGGGAATTATGAATCATTAGCGGTTATTTCTGTTACCTAACATTCATTGTCACCCCTCACTGAAAAGAAGGGAAAAAGGGGGAAAGAAAGAAGGGAAAAAGGGGGAAAGAAACCTTCTTCCCTTGGAAGCAAAGGTTTTACTACTAACCTGAATGTTCTATCAAGGCATACAAGGGACCATGTGCATAAGTTGCATAACTTCCTTTTCTTGCTGGGCAGGGACTGTTCTTGCAAGTGTATAGTCAATTTGATACTTTTACGTCCGGGACAGTTCAACAACTGCATACTGCATGCTCAAAAGTAATATTTTTCTTTGTTTTGGATTCAGGAATTGTATGATGCTATAATATGGAATGAGGTCAGGTCTCTTGGGGATGCAACAGTGCAACCCACACTTGGTTCTGAGTGGAAAACCTGGAAGCATGAAGTTATGAAATGTTTCTCAACTTCTCATCCTGTATCTAGTGCTGGAGATATCAAGCAACGGAACAGCGATGGTCCTTCACACACAAGTATACAAGTTGGCAAGAAGAGGCCCAAGCTTGAAATCCGTCGTGCAGAGACACATGCTTCCCAGGTGCTAAGGAATGATTCAGATCAAATCATGGCTGTTGAAATTGACTCTGATTTCTTTAGTAACCGAGATGCTGTGGATGTCAATCTGCCAACACCAGAACTTTGTAAAAAGGAAGATGAGAGAGGGGAAACCACACCAATGAACACGTCAAACACTTCGACTGACAGATGGGATAATATTGTTGTTGAAGAAAGGGATTCAGAGCTCTTTCACACCAAAGTTGTTGAAACAACAACTGCAAGTGAAGAGGTCAGGAGTGCCTCAACTCTGCACAGTCAGCCAAAGGAAGTGGAATTAACACCTGTGAGTGATTCAGTTGCTAAGAAATCTGTAGATGCTTTGAGTAAAAACCGACAGTGCATAGCATTCATAGAGTCGAAAGGAAGGCAGTGTGTGAGGTGGGCAAATGAGGGGGATGTTTATTGTTGTGTGCACTTAGCATCTCGCTTTACTGGTACCTCTAGCAAAATGGAAGGGACACCCCTTGTTGATACACCAATGTGTGAAGGTATGACTGTGCTTGGCACAAGATGCAAGCATCGGTCATTATATGGTTCCTCATTCTGCAAGAAACACAGACCTAAAAATGATGCAAATAGTATCTTCCTTTCTCCAAAGCACACACAAAAAAGGAAACACTTGGAGACCACATCCTGCAGAGATATAGTTTTGGTGGGAGACAGTGAAAGTCCTCTGCAAGTGGAGCCAGTGTCAATAATTGAGCCTGATGTTGCACAGAGAAGAAACAGTTTAATCGAGAAGCCGGAACATTCTGGTAAAGATCAAGATAGCACAGAATTGCTGCATTGCATAGGCTTATACTCTCAAAGTGGTTTTGATCCTTGTCATGAAAGTCCTAAGAGGCATTCATTATACTGTGATAAACACCTTCCAAGCTGGCTCAAGCGTGCAAGAAATGGTAAGAGTAGGATAGTATCCAGAGAAGTGTTTGTAAATCTTTTGAAAGACTGCTATTCACTTGAGCAGAAATTGCATTTACATCAAGCATGTGAACTTTTCTACAAGCTCTTCAGAAGTATTTTTTCTCTAAGAAACCCAGTTCCTGTGGAAGTCCAACTTCAGTGGGCCCTTTCTGAAGCTTCAAAAGATTTTAGTGTTGGGGAATTTGTAATGAAGTTGGTTTACAGTGAAAAGGAGAGACTCCAAAGTTTATGGGGCTTCACTGACAAAAAATGTACACCTTCGTCCTCTTTTGTGGAAGAACCTGTTCCCTTGCCATTGGCCATCAATGACAGTTTTGAAGATGACAAGACTATTAAGTGCAAAATGTGCTCAGTGGAATTTCTTGATGACCAGCAGCTTGGAACCCACTGGATGGAGAACCATAAAAAGGAAGCACAAAGGTTGTTTAGAGGTTATGCTTGTGCAATCTGCCTGGATTCATTTACTAACACGGAGGTTTTAGAATCCCATGTCCAGGAGAGACACCATGTGCAATTTGTTGAACAGTGCACGCTTCTCCAATGCATTTCCTGTGGCAGCCATTTTGGCAATACTGAGGAATTATGGCCGCATGTGCTGTCAGCTCATCCTGTTGATTTTAGACGGTCAAAGACTGCTCAACAGCATATTCTATCAGTGGGTGAGGAATCACCGCTGAAACTTGAGCTCGCTAATTCCGCTTCTTTGGAGAATAATTCAAAGAATGTAGGCAGTTTTCAAAAGTTTATTTGCAGGTTTTGTGGCATGAAATTTGATTTGCTGCCTGATCTTGGCCGTCACCACCAGGCTGCTCACATGGGACCAAGTTTAGCTAGCTCTCGTCTTCCAAAGAGAGGGGTTCGTTATTATGCTTATAAACTAAAATCTGGGAGACTAAGCCATCCTAGATTTAAGAAAGGTCTGGGGGCTGTGTCATATAGGATCAGGAATAGGGCAACTGCAACTATGAAAAAACGCCTCCAGGCGTCAAAGTTGATGGACCCTGACATCATTAGTGCAGAGCCTCATGTAACGGAAGCATCAAATCTTGGTAGATTAGCAGAACCACAATGCTCAGCCCTTGTAGAAATATTATTCTCCAATATTCATAAAGCAAAGCCGCGACCTAATAAGTTAGACTTTCTTTCTATTGCTCGCTCTTCTTGTTGCAAAGTGAGCCTGAAGGCCTCATTGGAGGAGAAGTATGGCATGTTACCAGAACGTGTGTACCTTAAGGCAGCTAAGCTTTGCAGTGAGCATAACATTCACGTCGAGTGGCACCAAGAGGAATTTACATGCACAAATGGATGTAAGTCTGTCAAGGACCCAGAGGTTCTGTCCCCATCAATTCCTCTAGCTAATTGTTTTAGAGGTCGCCTATCAGCTGATTCCCTGGATAATGTAGACAAAGAGTTGGAATTGGATGAGTGTCACTATATCATTGGTTCACAGCATTTTAAACAATGGCCCATGCACAAGGCCAGTGTCTTGTGTGATGATTTAAGCTTTGGAAAAGAATCAGTTCCAGTAGCTTGTGTAGTGGAGGAAGGTCTTTTGGATTCCCTTTACTTCTCTGGGGATAGTTCAAAAGGTCAAAATGCTAAATCCTGCATGCCTTGGGAGAACTTTACATACATTACGAAATCTTTGCTTGATCAGTCCCTTGATCTTGATTTTGAGGTAACCTTTGTATTTGCTTTTCTCTATTGCTCCTTCATAACTATGCTTACAATTATACCTCACTGGAGTCTATTACAATTGCATGTCACAATGACCTTACAACCAGCAGTTATTCTCAAGATTTTTCATAATTCCCTTCCCAGGAGATTTCTGGGGTTTTGCTTGATAATACCAGGAAATGTAATTTCTTAAAGACAAGGACTGCATCGTCCTTGTTTCATACAACTTGCCACCTCGCACATGATGGAATGTATTTGTACATTGCTTGGATTGGTTTATCTCATACTTGTGTTGTATTTTTATCATTTTCCTTCTAATTATTTACATATCTTTTCAGGGTTTGCAACTTGGGTGCACTTGTTCCAATTCAACATGCTGTCCTGAGACATGTGATCATGTATACCTCTTTGATAATGATTATGAAGATGCAAGAGACATATACAGGAAACCCATGCGTGGCAGATTTCCTTATGATGACAGAGGTCGAATTATCTTGGAGGTACTAAAATTATTTCTGTTTACCAATATTAATTTTCACTAAAGCATCATGTCTTCTTGTTGTTTGCTTATGGTTAGGGCTGTAAAAGAGCCAAGTTGAGCTCGACTTGACTCGAAAAATTTAAAGCTTTAAATTGTCAAGCTCGACTCGAACTCGAAATCAAAAATAAAAAAATTTCAAGCTCGACTCGAACTCGAAAAAATTTGAACTCGAAACATTCTTAGACTTAACCCGATTATGGCTCAAATTCGAGTTTAAACCTGAACTTTAAGTACTTGAAAACCTTATTGTATTTTTTTAGAAAAACATATAAATACTAATATTATTAATAATTTAATTTTTAAAAAAAGGAAAATTTTAATATATCATTTTTTCTAGTTGCTCACGAGCTTTTTGAGTAAGGTATCAATAGTCCGTTTCGGCTCGTTATGAACTCGAGTTCGAGCTCAAGTGAAGTTGAGTCCGTCCGATTCGAGTGTTGACCAAGCTTTGATCGACTTGAACTGGAGTAGCTCGCAATCTGTATTGTCTCATTTATAGCCAAACTTATGTTGTCTCAAAATCATATGTAAAGAGAATGTGTTGTTAACTTGTCAAAGAGTGCATTATTGATTTGCTATGATACCCATAAGCATCCGGTATGATTTTTTTAATTTCCTTTTAGAATTACATAGCTTCACCTTCACCATTCAGAACATTATAGAATTACAAGCCCCTTTTCACTAGCGGATACTGCTATATGGCCTGGTTGTCATCCTCCTTCCTGCTCCTCTTGATTCTGTGGTTTATCTCTTGAGATTAAACCTTTTGTGAAAAACTTTGCAGGAGGGCTACCTTGTCTATGAATGCAACCACAAGTGTAGCTGTAGTAGAGCATGCCCAAATAGAGTTTTGCAAAAAGGAGTACGAGTAAAACTGGAAGTCTTCAAAACAGAGAATAAGGTAATGATTTCAGCTTTTTGTTGTATTAGAGTTGTATCCATTGATATTGCTTCATGTTGATCTTCAGGGCTGGGGAGTCAGGGCTGGTGAACCAATTCTGAGTGGCACATTTGTCTGTGAGTACATTGGGGAGATCTTAAGCGAGCAAGAAGCAAACAATAGGCTTACCAGGTTTCTCTTTGATTTTCAGAGATCTGCTCACCTTATGCTTGCTTTTATGCTGATATTCTGACTAGGCTGTCTGATTTGATATCAGGTATGATAGAGACATTTGCAATTACATGTTTAATGTTGATTCTCGCATCAATATTATGATCCGATGGATTGAAGGACAAGCAGGATATGTTATTGATGCATCCAAATATGGAAATGTTTCCAGGTTCATCAATCATAGGTGAGGATACTCTTGCATGCATCAGCTATCACATACTGAATGAAATGTTCTCATATTCTTGATTCTGGTATCTGTATTTCCAAGTTGTAACTTGGCAACAGCCAATTTTGTGACTGATTATCCATAGATTCTGAATGTGCGCACCTTTTTCTGATCATGAATAATGGGCCCTTTAGCATTTATGACTTTGTTTTGGGCAGAATTACCAGTTCATCTTTGCTGTTTGAATAATGTGTACCATACCTCTACTTTTGAAGTCCTGAATTTCTGTTTATGCGCTCTTGATAACTTCTTTGTCTTTTTGTCTTTTTAATTCTTCTCAGTTGCTCACCAAATCTTGTGAATCATCAAGTTCTTGTGGACAGCATGGATTGTAATCAAGCTCACATTGGTCTCTTTGCTAGTCAAGATGTAAGAGTGTTTCTAAAAAATGTAGTGTACAAATCTGTGGCATCTGTAAAATCCAGGATGATCTATGTTGAAAATGGTTTGTAGATTTTGGTGTGGTTTAGAAGACCAAGTTTAATTGAGTGACTTGTCAAAGTAAAGCTTAGTTGGGTAAATAAAGGTTTAAAATAGGCATCTCTTTGACTTCTTATCTTCTATCAAGATGTAATAGGTTCTCTCTTTCAATACTAATCAAAATTTGAACTTCTTTGGATTGGTTTTACCATAACTCTTCAAAGAAAAAACTCTTAAAATATATTTATTGTTTTAGTGTTACAAATGTGTTAACGCTGCCATTCTTTCACCACAATTTTACAGATATCTATAGGTGAAGAGCTGACTTTTGACTATCGATATGAACTGCTGTCTGGACAAGGATATCCATGTCAATGTGGAGCTTCTACATGCCGAGGGCGCCTTTACTGAATCGTCAGTGAGCACTGTGGGTTCTCTATGACATCTAAGATATATTGCTTCTGAACTTCACTAATGAGGATACTGAATTCTTAACATAGGAGCTTTACCTCCCGTCAAACCAATCATGGGACTAAATCTGGCACTGTTGTTGCTAACAGTTCTACATTTTTAGCTGGTGGTTCTTACACAAGGGAAACTGTAAACCGCTAAATCTTTATCAGTGGAAATGGAGTTCTGCAGTGTCCATACAGATCATACAACCTGCTGCATGGAATTTTCGACCAAGCCAGATTGTACCTATGGTAGATCTTTCAAACGGGAAGGAAGAAAGCAGTGTATTTGGCGCATCTCTTTTTTAAACTCTTCCCTGTCCCCCAATTCTTCTTTCTTTAGTAGCGTAGTCCACTTTCTGGTGGGGCTTGCTGTCGAAAATTTCCTGCCTTTTGGTTCCCGTTGGAGTTCTTAGGTTTGATAGCTTAGACCAGGGATGTTAGACAACTTTTGTGATGCATGAAGTGCCTCGATCCTTCTATGTGACATTCTCTGTAGTTTGCTTTCCATTGTATAAAGTTTGAGCATTCTTATCGCGCCTTGGCTTCATTAAGGGCACCTATGCAGTTGGGAAAGTAAAAGAAATTTTCAAATGTAGGTGTAAATGTGTACTGCCTGATACTCATTGGTTGAAAATGACATGCCCACACAAGTGATATCATTACTGACATGTCCAAACTTCAGACTCCTCAAGTGGGTCTTAAGCAAAATTTAACCAGAAACAGGAACATCAGCCATTAAGCTTCTATTGTCAGAGAAACAAGGTATATAGTTAAAACTGTCAGTCTTAGCCTGAGGTTTTCATTTCATTTCAAACATTCAACCCTGAAAGTTGATGTTCACCAAGGAATGCAAATGGAAATAAAACTGATTCTCCCTACTTTCCTCTTCTTTCTTAGCTCGTGATCCATGTTCACTGTGAATCAAGATGTCCCCTTCATCATTATGTTTCTCTAATGACAGATGGGTCCATTCTGAAGCTTTTGTTAGGATCTGAATTTACGGCAAAGCAGAGAGGTAATTAAAGGGGGTCAAGGAAATGATGGATTATCTAATCCTACTTTGAGAAGTTGAATTAAGAAAATGGTTTAAATGATGTTTTTAAGTTGTTTGAGTATATATATCTATGTAATTTGCCAATATGATGGGTATTGAAGCTACACATTAGTCCATAAATTATCCAAAACAGCGGATTTAGCCCTTGAATTTATAATTTGATCATTTTTAGTTCCTAGACTTTTCAAATTTTAAAACTTCAATCCCAAGTCAATTTCTACTACTAGCTGTTAAAATATGCATAAGTTGTATATTTTGTTCATGCTCCCTGTAATTAACTCTATAGTAAGAGCTTTTGTTTATATCAACTCACAAGAAACCTCATACTTGGGATATGCATCAACTTATCACGATCCATTGTTTTGATACTCAAGCTATGATGGTTTGATTTTAATACCATGTGGTCGCTTCGAAATCGCATCAAAAAACAAGCTGTTAAAGTGGGGAGATCTTAGATTTCATACGAATAAATCAGATTGCCACCAGCATCAATGAAAACGATGCTCAATTTTGCATCGAAAATCCAGCGGCATCTCACAAAAGAAATAACTTTAAGACGGAAAAGAACCAGAACTATGTATGGGGTTTGGCAAAATATAAATATTTACGAAAAGGGTAAACTACATCATTTTTCAACGAAATTGACTCTCTCTCTTATTTCACTTACTCTATTTTCAAAATTTTGAATTTACTCATAGAAATTTTGAATTGTTCCTATTTTAGTCACTTTAAATTAATTATTATTATTATTATTATATGATGTAAAAAAATTTAATATTTAATATTAAAATAATTTAAAATAAATATTAAAATAATATCCCTAGCCCTAACTCATTTATCTTCTTCATCCCAAACCTCATTAAAGACCACTACCCCTTCTCGTCACCGTCGACCATTGTAGGTTTTCAGAACTGCTAATCGTTTGATCCCAAATTATATCGAGAGACTTGTTTTGATACGTTGAATCCAAATCTGATGGTTGTTTCACCGCAAAATTTCCCGAAACTAGTGAATCTCGATGAAAACATTTTGGTTTATTAACTTTTGATCTCCTATTCATGTCCAGAGCATATTTTGACAAAATAGAGGTCGAATTCAAACTTAGGGGATCGAGATGAAGTGCCCCATGAAATCTTGGACTGAAACTACCATCTACAACGATTGACGATTCGATTTCTCACTTTTGATCGGATACAGAGCATGTTACAAAAAAAAATGGAGATCGAATTCAGATTCAAGATCTACGATCGTCGATAGTGGCATCCAACACCGATGAACAGTGAACAACCACAATTTGTTTTAATTTTATATTTTAATTTATTTTTATATTAAATAATAAGATAAATTACATAGTTCATCACTAAACTTTACCCTTTCTCTTATTTCACTCACTAAACTTTCAATTTTTCTAATTTACTCACTGAACTTTATAGATTCATTTTTCTGTCGCTCAACCGTTATTCTTGTACTACGTTATGACTTGACATAATTAAATATTTTTTAATGCTAAAATTGTTTTTTTTAAACGTTGTCCCCAATCTTCTTCTTCAATAGGTTGTCATGAAACACAGATGGATTTTGCATGTATCATACAACTTGAGGCGGTAAGCAACCTTCCCGATTTTCTCTATAATTCAAAAGGGTCCATAAAATTTGACTGCTAACTTCAAGTGTTTTCTCAGAGCTAGTGAAGTTTGTCTATAAGGTTATATTTTCAGGTAAGCATACTCACCCACCTCAAATTCTCTCTTAATTCTGTTTTTATCTACCTTCTGCTTCATAAGATTTTTTGCTATCTGTAATTATTCTCGAAGTACATTTCTTGCATGTTCACGGTCTGCCAGTAGTTCATTTACATTGTGCATATTGGTTTCTGTTTGCCATGTCATTACTGGGGGTTTGTAGACATGAAAGGCTTGGAAAGGTTTCTTGCATGGGATATCCACTTAGCCCATAGGGTAGGCTTGAAACAATAGAACCCTCGTAGGTACTGCTATAGGCACTGATTTACCCTCTTCGTTTGACCATCTGTTTGTGGATGGTAGGCTGTGATGTACAGCATTTGAGTCCCTAACTCTTTCATGAATTCTCTCCAAAAAGCGCTGGTGAAAGTCATGTCTTTCCCGGATATGACCATTCTAGGTTGGCCATACATCTCAAATACTTGATCTAGGTAGATTTTAGCAACCTCTGCAGCAGTGCAGGGGTGAGTCAAAACTATAAAGTGAGCACTCTTTGTAAGTTTATCTACCACAACCAAAATACAATTTTTTTCTCAAAGATGTATGGAGACCATCAATAAAATCCATTGTTACCACTTCCCAAGCCTGAGCAGGAATAGGAATATGATGTAATAACCCAAGGGTAGCTACATGCTATGCCTTAATTCGTTGACAAGTATCACACTTTTGAACATAAGAAACAATCATCTTCTTGAGTCTTGGCCAGTAGAAGTAGGAATAAATCCTCTGGTAAGTTGCACGTACCAGAGTGTCCACCTTGTGGAGAATCATGTAAGGTCTTAAGAATTTGAAGTCTCAAGTCCCTTGTACTACCCACATAAACTCTTGATTTGTATCGCAATATGCCATTTGAGAATTTCCAGTCTACATGGAGAGATAGTTGTATAGTTACCTTTCGAATCCATTCAGAAGCAGTCTCATCATCCTTGTAGCTATTTTTAATTTTTTCACCCAAGTTGGCATAAAAGTTGTAACACATATATGCATTAACTGTCCTTGTTCCTCAAATTTCCTTGAGAGAGCATCAACAACCGTATTAGTGTTGCCCTTCCTATATTGTATACTATAGTCCAACCCTAATAATTTGGTCAACCCCTTCTTTTGAATTGTTGTGGTTAACTTATGCTCCAAGAGAAATTTAAGTGGCTCGTGGTTGATTTTAATGATAAAAGGTCCACCCTCCAAATAGTGCCTCCACTTCAAAACTGCCAATAAAATGGCAAGGTACTCCCTCTCATAAGTTGACAAGGCAACATTCTTAGGACTTAAGGTTTTACTTCGGTAAGCAATGGGCATACCTTCCTGGGAAAAAACAACACCAATTCCTGTAGAGCTTGCATATATTTCCAAGGAAAAACTCTTAGAAAAATTTGGTAAGGCTAAAATAGGTGCACTCATAGTTACAGAAATCGCTCAACAGCCCACGATCTATGTACCGTACGATGCGATCCAAAACGCGGTACGAACGCGTTCCAGTCGTTTCAAAATCGCGATTCGGTGCGAGCTTTGGGTTCATCGAATGTTAAAGAGGAGCTTGAGGGAGAGGAAATGGGGGAACGATGGGTTTGGTTTAATTAGGGATTTAGTCACCGTATTCTTAGGGATAAATTAGGTTTAGGCCCTTGCAATTTAGCGAATTTTTATAAAACAGTCCCTAATTCATCCCAATTTTCTTATTTTGTTTCAAATGTTTAGGTACCATTTATGTTATTTTACATATTATTTTAGCTTAAACCGAATTTGATCAATTGTATATAGGACCCTGTCACTTATGCGCATTTTGTACTTAGGTCACTGATTTATTTATAATTTTACCTGTTTAATTTTATATTTGTTTCTGGTTAAGGGTAAATATCTGTTTAAATCCCTGGTTTCTTATGTGTTATTTCAGTTATTAAGGAAGTTTTAATTTCTTTTATTTTATTCCTGCTATTTATAGTTACTTATAAAATTTGATGTAGAAAAATATCAACCTATGAAACTGGTACATCATACCAATTTATATGGTACATCGTACCGGAGCGATCCGAAATAAGCCTACCCCCTCGTACCGAATTTTAGGGACCTAGCGAATTGCGATCCTGTTCCACGTTCTCGTACCAGAGCGTACCGCGATCCATGTGACTATGGGTGCACTGCACATTGTTTGTTTAAGAGTCTGAAAAGCTATCATTGCTGCTAGAGACCATAGGAAGATGTTTTTTTTCAGTAGCTGAGTTAGAGGTTTACTGATTGTCCCATAAATTTTTATGAAACGTCTATTGTAACCAGTCAAGCTTAAGAACCCTAGAAGAGACTTTAAGCTCTTAGGTATAGGCCAATCTTGCATTGCAACTATTTTACTTAGGTCAGTTGAAACCCCCTTTGCAGAAATAATGTCACCCAAGTATTCCACATGTTTTTATCCAAAGAGAGACTTGGATCTCTCAACAAAAAGATTGTTGTCCTGAAGTTTTTGTAAGACCAGTTGCAAATGTTGTACATGTTCTGTCATACTCTTACTATAAACTAAAATATCATCAAAGAAAACTAGGACAAACTGTCTCAAATAAGGAAGAAATAGGGTGTTCATAAGAGATTGAAATGTAGCTAGGGCATTATTAAGGCCAAAAGGCATCACCTTAAATTCAAAATGGTCATGATTAGTCCTGAAGGCAGTCTTGTAAATGTCCTCAAGGTGAATTCTGATTTGCCAATCGCCTGGTCTGAGGTCTACTTTAGAGAAATAAACTGCTCCATATAATTCATCTAGGAGATCTTCAACTACTGGAATAGAAAACTTATTTTTGATAGTC